ACAGTGACGACGTGAAGACAGTAACGACGTGAAGACAGTAACGATGTGAAGACAGTGACGACATGAAGACAGTAACGACATGAAGACAGTAACGACGTGAAGACAGTGACGACGTGAAGACAGTGATGACGTGAAGACAGTAACGACGTGAAGACAGTGACGACGTGAAGACAGTGACGACGCGAAGACAGTAACGATGTGAAGACAGTGACGACATGAAGACAGTAACGACATGAAGACAGTAACGACGTGAAGACAGTAACGACGTGAAGACAGTAACGACGTGAAGACAGTGACGACGTGAAGACAGTGACGACGTGAAGACAGTAACGACGTGAAGACAATAACGATGTGAAGACAGTGACGACGTGAAGACAGTAACGACGTGAAGACAGTAACGACGTGAAGACAGTGACAACGTGAAGACAGTGACGACGTGAAGACAGTAACGATGTGAAGACAGTGACGACGTGAAGACAGTGACGACGCGAAGACAGTAACGACGCGAAGACGGTGACGACGTGAAGACGGTGACGACGTGAAGAGAGTAACGACGTGAAGACAGTAACGACGTGAAGACTGTAACGACATGAAGACAGTAACGACGTGAAGACGGTGACGACGTGAAGACAGTAACGACGTGAAGACGGTGACGACGTGAAGACGGTGACAATGTGAAGACAGTGACGACGTGAAGACATTAACTACGTGAAGACAGTGACGACGTGAAGACAGTGACGACGTGAAGACAGTAACGACGTGAAGACAGTGGCGACGTGAAGACAGTAACGACGTGAAGACAGTAACGACATGAAGACAGTGACGACGTGAAGACAGTAACGACGTGAAGACAGTAACGACGTGAAGACAGTAATGACGTGAAGACGGTGACGACGTGAAGACAGTAACGACATGAAGACAGTGACGACGTGAAGACAGTAATGACGTGAAGACGGTGACGACGTGAAGACAGTAACGACGTGAAGACAGTGACGACGTGAAGACAGTAACGACATGAAGACAGTGACGACGTGAAGATGGTGACTACATGAAGACAGTGACGACGTGAAGACAGTGACGACGTGAAGACAGTAACTACGTGAAGACAGTAACGACATGAAGACAGTGACGATGTGAAGACAGTAACTACGTGAAGACAGTGACGACGTGAAGACAGTGACGACGTGAAGACAGTAATGACGTGAAGACGGTGACGACGTTAAGACAGTAATGACGTGAAGACAGTGACGACGTGAAGACAGTAACGACGTGAAGACAGTGACGATGTGAAGACAGTGACGACGTGAAGACAGTGATGACGTGAAGACAGTAACGACGTGAAGACAGTAACGACATGAAGATAGTGACGACGTGAAGACGGTGACAACGTGAAGACAGTGACGACGTGAAGACGGTGACGACGTGAAGACAGTAATGACGTGAAGACAGTGACGACGTGAAGACAGTAACGACATGAAGACAGTGACGACGTGAAGACGGTGACAACGTGAAGACAGTGACGACGTGAAGACAGTAACGACGTGAAGACAGTGACGACGTGAAGACAGTGACGACATAAAGACAGTGACGACGTGAAGACAGTGACGACGTGAAGACAGTGACGACGTGAAGACAGTGACGACATAAAGACAGTGACGACGTGAAGACAGTGACGACGTGAAGACAGTGACGACATGAAGACAGTGACGACGTGAAGACAGTAATGACGTGAAGACGGTGACGACGTGAAGACAGTAATGACGTAAAGACGGTGACGACGTGAAGACAGTAATGACGTGAAGACAGTGACGACGTGAAGACAGTAACGACGTGAAGACAGTGACGACGTGAAGACAGTAACGACGTGAAGACAGTAACGACATGAAGACAGTGACGACGTGAAGACAGTAACGACGTGAAGACAGTAACGACGTGAAGACAGTAATGACGTGAAGACGGTGACGACGTGAAGACAGTAACGACATGAAGACAGTGACGACGTGAAGACAGTAATGACGTGAAGACGGTGACGACGTGAAGACAGTAATGACGTGAAGACAGTGACGACGTGAAGACAGTAACGACATGAAGACAGTGACGACGTGAAGACGGTGACTACATGAAGACAGTGACGACGTGAAGACAGTGACGACGTGAAGACAGTAACTACGTGAAGACAGTAACGACATGAAGACAGTGACGACGTGAAGACAGTAACTACGTGAAGACAGTGACGACGTGAAGACAGTGACGACGTGAAGACAGTAATGACGTGAAGACGGTGACGACGTGAAGACAGTAATGACGTGAAGACAGTGACGACGTGAAGACAGTAACGACGTGAAGACAGTGATGACGTGAAGACAGTGACGACGTGAAGACAGTGACGACGTGAAGACAGTAACGACGTGAAGACAGTAACGACATGAAGACAGTGACGACGTGAAGACGGTGACAACGTGAAGACAGTGACGACGTGAAGACGGTGACGACGTGAAGACAGTAATGACGTGAAGACAGTGACGACGTGAAGACAGTAACGACATGAAGACAGTGACGACGTGAAGACGGTGACAACGTGAAGACAGTGACGACGTGAAGACAGTAACGACGTGAAGACAGTGACGACGTGAAGACAGTGACGACATAAAGACAGTGACGACGTGAAGACAGTGACGACGTGAAGACAGTGACGACGTGAAGACAGTGACGACATAAAGACAGTGACGACGTGAAGACAGTGACGACGTGAAGACAGTGACGACATGAAGACAGTGACGATGTGAAGACAGTAATGACGTGAAGACGGTGACGACGTGAAGACAGTAATGACGTGAAGACGGTGACGACGTGAAGACAGTAATGACGTGAAGACAGTGACGACGTGAAGACAGTAACGACGTGAAGACAGTGACGACGTGAAGACAGTAACGACGTGAAGACAGTGACGACGTGAAGACAGTGACGACGTGAAGACAGTGATGACGTGAAGACAGTAACGACGTGAAGACAGTAATGACATGAAGACAGTGACGACGTGAAGACGGTGACAACGTGAAGACAGTGACGACGTGAAGACGGTGACGACATGAAGACAGTAATGACGTGAAGACAGTGACGACGTGAAGACAGTAACGACATGAAGACAGTGACGACGTGAAGACGGTGACAACGTGAAGACAGTGACGACGTGAAGACAGTAACGACGTGAAGACAGTGACGACGTGAAGACAGTGACGACATAAAGACAGTGACGACGTGAAGACAGTGACGACATGAAGACAGTGACGACATGAAGACAGTGACGACGTGAAGACAGTAACGATGTGAAGACAGTAACGACGTGAAAACAGTAATGACGTGAAGACGGTGACGACGTGAAGACAGTAACGACGTGAAGACAGTGACGACGTGAAGACAGTAATGACGTGAAGACGGTGACGACGTGAAGACAGTAACGACATGAAGACAGTGACGACGTGAAGACGGTGACAACGTGAAGACAGTGACGACGTGAAGACAGTAACGACGTGAAGACAGTGACGACGTGAAGACAGTGACGACATAAAGACAGTGACGACGTGAAGACAGTGACGACGTGAAGACAGTGACGACGTGAAGACAGTGACGACATAAAGACAGTGACGACGTGAAGACAGTGACGACGTGAAGACAGTGACGACATGAAGACAGTGACGACGTGAAGACAGTAATGACGTGAAGACGGTGACGACGTGAAGACAGTAATGACGTGAAGACAGTGACGACGTGAAGACAGTAACGACGTGAAGACAGTGACGATGTGAAGACAGTGACGACGTGAAGACAGTGACGACGTGAAGACAGTAACGACGTGAAGACAGTAACGACATGAAGACAGTGACGACGTGAAGATGGTGACAACGTGAAGACAGTGACGACGTGAAGACGGTGACGACGTGAAGACAGTAATGACGTGAAGACAGTGACGACGTGAAGACAGTAACGACATGAAGACAGTGACGACGTGAAGACGGTGACAACGTGAAGACAGTGACGACGTGAAGACAGTAACGACGTGAAGACAGTGACGACGTGAAGACAGTGACGACATAAAGACAGTGACGACGTGAAGACAGTGACGACGTGAAGACAGTGACGACATGAAGACAGTGACGACGTGAAGACAGTAACGACGTGAAGACAGTAACGACGTGAAGACAGTAATGACGTGAAGACGGTGACGACGTGAAGACAGTAACGACGTGAAGACAGTGACGACGTGAAGACAGTAATGACGTGAAGACGGTGACGACGTGAAGACAGTAATGACGTGAAGACAGTGACGACATGAAGACAGTAACGACATGAAGACAGTGACGACGTGAAGACGGTGACAACGTGAAGACAGTGACGACGTGAAGACAGTAACTACGTGAAGACAGTGACGACATAAAGACAGTGATGACGTGAAGACAGTGACGACGTGAAGACAGTAACTACGTGAAGACAGTAACGACATAAAGACAGTGATGACGTGAAGACAGTGACGACGTGAAGACAGTGACGACATGAAGACGGTGACGACGTGAAGACGGTGACGATGTGAAGACAGTAACGACGTGAAGACAGTGACGACGTGAAGACAGTAACGACGTGACGACGGTGACGACGTGAAGACGGTGACGACGTGAAGACAGTAACGACGTGAAGACGGTGACGACATGAAGACAGTAACGACGTGAAGACAGTGACGACGTGAAGGTAGCAATGACAAGAGACAGCGATGACGGCCAGAACCCCAACCAAACAGCCCTGAACCCCACTCCTCGCCCCCTTGTTATGCCCGGCGTGGCCTTCCTCTGCCCTTAGCCCCGCCTTTGATCTCGAACCCTCTTGTGAGTTCCTGAACCTTCTTGGAGCTTGCCGACACACTGTCTTTACACCTGTAAAAAAAAAAATCCGTGTGGCGGTGTGGTCCTGAGTGACATGAACTGCTGTGCCGTGCGCCGCTATGTCAGGGTTTCCTGAAACTCCTGAGGAAGCAGCAGAAGGAGCTGGTGTGCTTGAAAAGGAAACAGGCGAAGGTGAGTGCCATTAGGAGTGGACCCACATGTCCAGCGACTCCTCTTGCAACAGACACAATCCCCACCAATGATAAAGATCTCTCGTACAGCCCGTGCTGTTAGCAAGTAGCACCTATGAAGGCCGGCATGGCGCACGAGGGGGTGGGTGGCCAGCACCATGCCCCGGCCACCTTTGTTTTCCCAGGTGGCGATGTTCACACACCGTGCCGAGTCGACCTATGGGAGGCCCGGGACTGGTTCAGATAATCGTCATTGGTGTTGGCCGTGAGTGGGAATCGAACTCGGGTCGCCGGGTCCGTAGAGGCAGTGCACTAACCGCTACACCGCTCCCCACACAAACCCACCATCTCTCTCGCCCACACGCATTGCTAGCCTCACACCTCGCCACCCGCACACCACATCGGCTGACTAACCCCTCAGCCGCACGCGCATGCCGCTAGCAAATTGTTGTGACCGGGACTGTGGCGCTGAAATGCAGGTGTGTTGAGGTCGATTAATGATGGCGATGATGGAGGGGTGTGTGGAGGAGAGAGGATCCTGACGCCGCCAGGGGGAGATGGCGGCTTGTGTGAAAGCGAGTGATGTGCTGCTGTCAGAAATTTGCAGGTTACTTTGGGGTGTCAGGAAGGGGGGTCTCCGTTAGCCAATCGGAGTGAGGGAGAAGGGTCACGGCAGAAAGCCGCGGCAGGATACCCGCGGACCACGTGCTGAAAAACGCTTCTGTTCAAATGGCGAGGATCCAATCGGTAGGGAGGTGGGATATTAGGGAACTGATGATTGAAGAGCGAGTGAGTGGTAGCATCTGACGGGCAGCGTCACTTAGCCATGCCGATGAGTGGAACGAGTGTGATGCGGTGCTCGCTGGGGCGGTGTAAGGTGGCGGGAGCTGTTTTTGGGGACTGCGTTACCGGGGTGGAACTAATAAAGACTGCGGGCTTAGCTTGCTTATCAATCTTCACGTTGGCGCTCGCTAACGGCACTTTCCCGCTGATGGCATGCGTAGGCCTTACACGAGAGGGGATCTTTGTGGCCGTGTATGTTGATCTGTTACGTTGTGTGCGAGCACCGCAGGAGCAGTACGCGGTGCAGCGCGCTCACTGCCAGCAGGTGGACAAGCTGGTGGCTCAGCACGACAAAGAGAAGATGGGCCTGGGCAAGGGGCTGGAGAAAGCTGTGCGGAAGCGTGGGTCAGTAGAGAGCAGCGCCCTCTGGGCTCTGTTATTATCTTGGCATTTGGTGGCGCTGTGTGACGTCTTGTTAGTTGGTCCCGCTGTGTGTCGTCTGTCAGTTGTCGTCTGTCAGTTGGTCCCACTGTGTGTCGTCTGTCAGTTGTCAGTCAGTTGGTCCTACTGTGTGTCGTCTGTCAGTCGTCAGTCAGTCAGTTGGTCCCACTGTGTGTCGTCTGTCAGTTGTCGTCAGTCAGTTGGTCCCACTGTGTGTCGTCTGTCAGTCGTCAGTCAGTCAGTTGGTCCCACTGTGTGTCGTCTGTCAGTTGTCGTCAGTCAGTTGGTCCCACTGTGTGTCGTCTGTCGGTTGTCGTCAGTCAGTTGGTCCCACTGTGTGTCGTCTGTCAGTTGTCGTCAGTCAGTTGGTCCCACTGTGTGTCGTCTGTCAGTTGTCATCTGTCAGTTGGTCCCACTGTGTGTCGTCTGTCAGTTGTCGTCAGTCAGTTGGTCCCACTGTGTGTCGTCTGTCAGTTGTCGTCAGTCAGTTGGTCCCGCTGTGTGTCGTCTGTCGGTTGTCGTCAGTCAGTTGGTCCCACTGTATTTCTGCCAGTACAGTAAGGTGAGATGTAGGAGACTGCGTGGGAGTGGTGAAATGAGAGGACAGAGGTAGGAGAGTGAATAGAGGTTGAGAGGTAGACGAGGGTGAGCTCCATGGAGGCTATTGGAGGCGGTGAGCATGCTCTTGATATCTCATCTCATATTCACATAGAGCGCCTTCGCTCAAGGCGCTTTCAAAAGAAGCGCCTTGAGCTTTTAAATGAAACGGAAAGAAAAGAGAAATATCTACACGGCAGGGCTGTGCTGGGGCTGAGGAATGAGCGAGCACAATACAGGGGTTGTTGGAGGTCACGAAAGGGTAGAGGGAGGGGGACGGGAGGGAGTGGAGGGGCGAGGGGAAGGGAATGGGCGATGAAATAGAGGCGAGGCTTCAAGGGAGGAATGGAAAGAGGTTATAGAGGGGGACAGGATTGGATGTGGAGCTCGAAGAGGGATTTGCGCGAACACAATCACGCACGCGCACTCCTCTCGATGATTCCAGCAGCCATCCCGGCGTGTGGCCATGGGCCACCCACCCGGGGCTGCGTCTCACCTGACTGAGCGTTTGCCCCCCGCGCCCCCCTCACCCCCCCGCCCCCAACCCCCCAGGGAGAGGAAGTGCACCGACCTGAAGAAGGAAATGGAACTGAAGACTCAGGTGTTGATATCAGAGCACAAGCAGAAGGCGAGTTGAGGGTGCCGCCGTGACGCGCGCTGTGACACACACACACACACACCGTTCACGTGGCACGCACGCCGTGACACACACACACACTCTTCACTTGCCACACGCGCCGTGACACACACACACCGTTCACGTGGCACGCACGCCGTGACACACACGCACACACCGATCACGTGACGCGCACGCGCGGGGGGAGTTCACGTGCTATACGTGCCGTGACACACACGCACACACACTCTTCACTTGCCACGCGCGCAGTGACACACACACACCGACCACGTGACACGCACGCGCGAGGGGAGTTCACGTGCTACACGTGCCGTCACACACGCACACACCATTCACGTGCCACGCGTGCGCACGGGTGAGGAGTCGGAGCGCCCATTCGAGGTCGCGAGGTCGACATCCTCCCCGCTGGGTTAAGGAAATGAGTTTCTCGCTCGTGAGCGGATGTGAATGTCTGTGGGAGTGCGTCCGCATTGAAGGGCGGCGGTGTGTCTGGCCGTACGTCTCGCAGGTCAAGGAGGTAGTTACGCGTGTGTTGTGTGCTTGTTGCTGTCGTCCGAGAGTGTCACGTAATGTAATTGTGTGGGGAGCGGTAGTGTTGTGGTTAGTGCGCCCGCGCTACGAACCGAGTTCGATTCCCGCTCACGGCCAACACCGGTGACGATGATCTCAACTGGTGCTGGGCCTCCCCTAGGTCGACTCGGTCTCAAATGAGTACCTGGTGCGGTGTGTAAACATCACCACTGGGGAGACGAAGGCGTCCTTCATAGGTGCTCACTGACAGCCCTTTACCTCAATTAGTTTGCTCAGGCTACACGGGGCATCTTTGTCTTTGTACGTATGTAATGTATGTGTGTGTGCGTGTTGAGTGAATGTGCGCACGCACGCACGTGGATGTGCTGTTTGCGTCTCTCAGGTGAAGGAGATGGTTGTGTGCGTGTTGAGTGAATGTGCGCACGCACGCCACCACGTGGATGTGCTGTGTGCGTCTCTCAGGTGAAGGAGATGGTTGCGTGTGTGTTGAGTGAATGTGCGCACGCACGCACGTGGATGTGCTGTTTGCGTCTCTCAGGTGAAGGAGATGGTTGCGTGTGTGTTGAGTGAATGTGCGCACGCACGCCACCACGTGGATGTGCTGTGTGCGTCTCTCCGTTGAAGGAGATGGTTGTGTGCGTGTTGAGTGAATGTGCGCACGCACGCCACCACGTGAATGTGCTGTGTGCGTCTCTCAGGTGAAGGAGATGGTGGGGCTGCAGACGAAGGAGTGGTCGGAGCTGATTTCGCGCCACGTGCAGGAAGAGCAGGAGCTGCGTGACGGCCAGGTCGATGAGCAGTACGAGCTGCTCAAGAAGCTGCTGCTGGGGTCCCACGAGTTGCAGAGCGCACAGCTCAAGATGCTCCACGACAGGTGATCAAGGCTCCCAGAGACTTCAATGTTAAAGGCTCCCATAGACTTCAATGTTAAAGGATCCCATAGACGTCAATGTTAAAGGCTCCCATAGACGCCAATGCTAAAGACTCTCACTTCAATGTTAAAGGCTCCCATAGACTTCAATGCTAAAGACTCCCATAGACTTCAATGTTAAATGCCCCCATATACTTCAATGCTAAAGGCTCCCATAGACTTCAATGTTAAAGGCTTCCATAGACTTCAATGCTAAAGACTCCCATAGACTTCAATGATAAAGGTTTCCATAGACTTCAATGTTAAAGGCTCCCATAGACTGCAATGTTAAATACTCCCATAGACTTCAATGTTAAAGGCTCCCATAGATGTCAATGTTAAAGGCTCCCATAGACTTAAATGTTAAAGGCTCCCATAGACTTCAATGATAAAGACTCCCATAGACGTCAATGCTAAAGGCTCCCATATACTTCAATGTTAAAGGCTCCCATAGACTGCAATGTTAAATTCCCCCATATACTTCAATGTTAAAGGCTCCCATAGACGTCAATGTTAAAGGCTCCCATAGACTCCAATGCTAAAGACTCCCATAGACTTCAATGTTAAAGGTTCCCATAGACCGCAATGTCAAAGGCTCCCATAGACTTCAATGTTAAAGACTCCCATAGACGTCAATGTTAAAGGCTCCCATAGATGGCAATGTTAAAGGCTCCCATATACTTCAATGTTAAAGGCGCCCATAGACTTCAATGATAAAGACTCCCATAGACGTCAATGCTAAAGGCTCCCATAGACTTCAATGCCAAATGCTCTCATAGACGTCAATGTTAAAGGCTCCCATAGACTTCAATGTTAAATGCTCCCATAGACTCCAATGTTAAAGGCTCCCATAGACTGCAATGTTAAAGGCTCCCATAGACTTCGATGCTAAAGACTCCCATAGACTGCAATGTTAAAGGCTCCCATAGACTTCAATGTTAAAGGCTCCCATAGATTTCAATGTTCACTCTGGAGACTCGCGGTGTGAACCCAAACGCGCCCTCTGTGGTGATGACGGGTGCGAGTCTCCACGCTCCGCGCGTCCGCAGGCTGTGCAAGGAGATGCGAGCTAACCAGACGAAGACCTCCATGGAGCACAGCAAGGCCATCAGCCAGGACAAGAGCATCAAGAACAAGGCTGAGCGTGACAGGCAAGGCCCCAGCCGCATGGCTGCTGTGTTTTATTCGAGTGGTGTTTCTGTGCTACCGTGATGCACGCTCGTTGCTGCGGTGCAACGGCGTGTGTGTGTGTGTGCAGGCCCTGGTGGCGTTTGTGTCCTCCTGCCTTCGCTACCATGACCGCCCCTGTGGTGTGTGTGTGTGTGCGTCTGTGTGCTTGCGTGTGTGAGGAGCTCACAGATCCTTGAAAGATATGGTCAATGTCACATTAGCGAGCTCCTCCGGCGGGCGAGGCTGCGTTGGCTGGGTCGTGTAGCCCGCATGCCCGTCCACTGCATGCCCAAGCAGCTTCTGTTTGGCTGGGTAGAGGGGGCTAAATAGGCACGGCACGGGCTAGATAAGAGATGGAGCTGATACGGTACGGAAGAATGTGCAGCTGAGTGGACTTGCCATTGAACGGTACCAGTTGTGTCAAAATCAGCCTCTGCGAAGGAGGCTCGTTAAGGACGCTGCTACTGGGCAGTTGAAGGCACTCGCCCTCCAACAACAGCGGAGGGTAGAGGAGTAACGCTCACAACAACGAGTGGAGTCCTGGGCATATAAAATGCCCAACGTTGGCACAATGGAGAGCACAGGTGGTGCATCTGCCAGACGTCTGTCGGTCAACCCACGGCACCCGAGTCCTATCCCATGACCTGCCAGTGACCCTTCGACACTTCACGTGCCCTCAAAGTGCACCTAGCCTGGCACAAGCGCCGTGATGACGTCACCACCACTTAGTGGTGAATGGCGGTTGTTGGTGTTATATGTGCGTGTGGTGTTGGCTACACTATTCCTTTTGGTTAGCCTTTATAGGTGCTCGCAAACAGCCCTTACCACCATAGGCTATGAAGGTTAACACTGGGGGCAATCTTTGCATACGTGTGTGCAAATGCAAGTGTCCGTGTGTGCGCAGAATGCTCCTTTTTAGCCGGCGATGAGACAGCAAGGAGGTGGAGCAGTTGTTGTTGTTGTTGTGTGCGCGCACAGGCGTGTACGCGAACTTAACAGCAACAACACCAAGAAGTTCCTGGAAGAGCGCAAGCGGGTACGTGGTGGTGTCCGTCTTGTTGTTGTTGGTGTCCGTGGTGGTGTCCGTGGTGGTGTACGTGGTGGTGGTGTCCGTGGTGGTGTACGTGGTGGTGGTGTACGTGTTGGTGGACGTGGTGGTGTATGTGGTGGTGTTGGTGAACGTGGTGGTGGTGTTGGTGCACGTGTTGGTGCACGTGTTGGTATGTGGAGAGCCCACAGACACAGAGGTGGCTGCTCAAAATATGATTTGAGAGGGACTGAAATATTTTTTAAAAGCTATTTTAATGAGTGCATGTGTTTGCACATTATGCCCTTGTGTGTGTTTACAAGTATGTATGCTGCATTTTTTGCTTATGTCGCCAGTTCGTGTGCAATCATGCATTGGGAAATGGTAGTGTAGTGGTCAACATGCTGAAACTATGAACCTGGCGGTCTGGGTTCGATTCCCGCTCACGGCCAACACCAGTGACCATTAATCTGAACCGGTCCCTGGGCCTCCTTTAGTTTGACTCAGCCTCAAATGAGTACCTGTGTGGCGTTTAAACATCACCACAGGGGAGACAAAGGTGGCCGGGCGTGGTGCTGGCCACCCACCCCCCTCGTGTACTGTGCCGGCCTTCATAGGTGCAACTTGCTAACAGCACTTGCCCCTACAGTCTGTTAAAGCTATACGGGGGGATCTTTTGTCTTTGCAATCTTCTGTGTATGTTTTACCCTCAGTTCAGTCAATGAGACGGCGGGCAGGCCCGGGTAAAGCTGAGTGGCCAGGAGTCGGAGCCATTCCCTGTTAAACTTGGGTGCGGCAGGGATGGCCCCTCCACTATTTAACATTTTTTTTGCCACCATCTAATTCGAGGAGATTTTTATCTGGTTACAGATACAATGGGAAACTGATCAATGACCAGGTGGGTTCAGGGAGGATGGCTCTAATTTGGTCAAACATGTTAGTATGCTGATGACCTGGTAATGCTGCTAGCCCTGAGGAGTTGGAGGTTCTACCGCTAGACCTGGAGTATCTTACGAAGAGGATATGGGGCCTTTCCATGAAGCCCCACCAAACTAATCCAACTGCTTGCGTATTTAAGTCATAAAATACACCGCCCTTTCGAGTCCTCGTGAGTGATGGGGCAGTTGTGTAGAGAGTGGAGGAGTCCCCATATTCCAGGCAGCGCACTTATCACTAGTTCCGGTTTGATATAGCAAAAGTGTCGCTCCGAATCAATCAAGTGGCATTATCCTTTCACAAGCTGCATAACACCATGTGGAAGCTACCTGGCCCGTCGCTCCACACGAAGCTCCGGGTCGTCTCGGCCACAGTTATTATGCCCTCCCTTTCCTATGTTGGTGTAGTAATGCTGACGCACGTTCTTGTTTGCTGTAAGCCTTTATTTTGGACACAACACTAATTCTAGGCCCAGGCTTCAGTTTCTTGATGCTTGAACTTCGTCTTCTCTCCAAGCCGTTCCTTCCCCTCTTGCTCTCCCCCTTCTACATCCCTCGAGGCGCCCTTCCTCGAAGGTTCGCTCACCCCCGCATCCCTCAGCCAATCCTCGTCCCCCTTCCCTCACGGTCATCAACCGTCACCTCCGACAGGCCGCCCTCATTTCACCGCCTTTTGCCTTCGAATTTTCCTTCCAGTCAGTTAAATTTTCTGACCATAACCAATCCTAATTGAGGCCTCCCTGCGCCAATTGGAGGCCCCTAACGCACTTCCTGACTGTCCGGCTGCGTATGTACCTCGTCGGGCAAGTGATCTGTTGTTTCGGTCTTTACACCTGTGAAACGTGGATGCCTTTTAATTCATTATTATTTTGCTTATTGATTCAGGAAATCCACACTGAGTCCAAAATGGGACGCTGGTGAGACAAGGCCCTAAAGAAGGCTGCAGCTGTCTCTGGTGTAGGCCAATCAAGTTCAACGACAATGCATACATTGTCAGAGCATGTCTGTGTGCATGTTCACCGCAAGTACGTGTGGTTAATGCAGACTCGATTCCTTGCAAAAGGTTTCTATTTGGTGTTCGAACATCTTAACACCTGCTGTTTCATTGCCAGAAAGGGTGAAACCTATTCCTATTTTTTCACGAGGGCACTTAATTGGGTTTATTTTTTTTAGTTTAAAGATGTTCTTCGCAAAATGTACGAGCATTCCCAGAGAAAATCAGCATGCGTGAGGGGGCGACACTCTAACCCCCGTACAGATGGAAACAGATGGAGATAAGCCCACTTGCTGCCCTACCACCACCATCCGGCTAGAGAAACATCTGCGTCAAATTGAAACATTCAGACTGGCCTGCCTACGATCCATCCTGGGTTTAACCAAGCTGGATTGTGTGAGGAGCTCACAGTTCCTTGATAGATTTGGACACAGTCCCATCGGTGAGCTCCTCTGACAGGCGAGGCTGTTTTGTAGCTCGCATGCCCAGCCACTGCACATCTAAGCAGCTTTTGTTTGGCAGGATAGAGGGGGCTAAATGGCCGCAGCATGGGCTAGGGAAGAGATGGAGCTGATGTGGTACAGGAGGATGTGGAGCTGATTGAACTTTCCGATGGTCTATACCAGCGGTGTCAAGATCGGCCTCTGTGGAGGGGACTTGGGAAGGATGCTAATGAGCATTCGGAGGCAGTCTCCCTCCAACAACAGCGGAGGGCAGGCAAAGGTACAATGCTCACGACAATGAGTGGAGTGCCGGGAGGCTAAATTGCATAAAGTTTGAACAGTAGGAAACACATCTGGTGCATCTGCAAGTCATCTCAGTCAATCCATGGCACCTGGTTCTGTCCCGTAACCTGCTGCCAGCGAGCCTTTGGCAGTTCACGTGGCGTCAAGGCGCACCTAGCCTGGCACAAGCACCGTGATGACGGTTGTTATATGTGCGTGTGGTGTCGGCTACACTATTAATTTTTGTCAGCCTTCATAGGTGCTCGCAAACAGCCCTTTCCACCATCGGCTATGAAGGTTAACACCGGGGGCGATCCATAGCGTGCATGTGTCTAAATGCGAGTGTCCGTGTGTGCGCACAACGCTCCTTGTTTCTAGCTGGCGATGAGACAGAGCAAGGAGGTGGAGCAGCTGAGGAAGAGCCAGCTGGAGCAGATGGAGGCCCTGGACAGGGACAAGGAGCAGGTGGGGGGCTGTCGTGATGTGGACGGCACGCGCCCTGGGCTGGGCCGCATGCGTGGGGTCACTGGGCTCTTCAGCGCGATGGCTCATGCCTGCAGACGCGACTCGAAGAAGCGACGGTCTTGATGAACTGTGAAGTGTGCGTCTGTGTCAATGTATGTAAGTTTATGTGTTGGGAGCGGTGGTCCAACGATTAGCGCCCTGCATTATGAACCCGGCTACAACTACTCAGTTAATCTGTCAGTTGGGTGACAGATTAACTGGGCAGTTGGGTGGCTGGTTATATGGGTAACTGAGTAGTTGGGTGTAATGATTAACTGGGTAGTTGGGTGGCTGGGTAGATGGGTAACTGAGTGGTTGGGTGCACGGTTAACTGGGTAGTTGGGTAACTAAGTAGAGAGGTGTACGTTTAACTGGGTAGTTAGGTGGCTGGGTAGATGGGTAACTGAATAGTTGCGTGGCTCTTTTTAAATCAGTGTACATTTGTAAATCTGTGTGTAAATCCATGTGTGTGTGCAGCGTTTAAACCTGTGTGTGCGTGTATAAACGCGTGTGTGCTTATAGCTGTGTGTGTTTAGAAATCCGTGTGTTTGTGTATATAAAGCGAAGTTCTCTAACTTGTATCTGACACAAGCTCTGCTGCTGCTGCTGCAGGCGCGGGAGATGCGGCAGATGTACCGACTGGAAACCCAGATGGGACAGCGTCCGGCCACCGTGGTGTGACGAGCAGGGAACCTCGGGTCTCCACAGGACGCGCGCGCGGGAGACGCAGGGAGACAAACGCACGCATCTCTCAAACTCATTGCCCCCGACCAGCAGAGACGACAATAACACACACCCCACAACAAAGACAAATATTCCCCCCTGTATAGCCTTAACATACTGTTGGGGCAAGTGCTGTGATCGCAACATACACACACACACTATTGCCCAGCGAGAAAATACCCAAATAAACAAACACACACACACATCGTTGGTGTAGTAGAGACAGGAACTCAAGCACATTCACCTCACCGCTACACGCACGCACACACGCACTCACCACTAACGCGCACACCCATCACTCAGCCAGCGCAAGTGAGACAACCCACACTGAAACACTGTGCCCTTATTTAAATGCTATTTTTATTTAAATGCTATTTTTAGCTGCTGTAGCTGAGTTTCTATCTTTTTAGACCTAACGTGGGCCGCACTTCGCAGCAGGGTGGGAGACCTGGACTTCAGTCACTCGTGTGCCCCTCCCCCCCCCGGCACAGAGTTCGTCCACTCTCCCACCTGGCGGATCCGTGCACGGATCTTATTTTATGTTTTGCTGGCGCGACACCTTGTTCATGCGTCGCATCCCAGATGCCACCAATCACCGCTTGTCCATAGGCCACTGCAACCACTCCTGGCTATGGGCACGGAAATTCTACTTTTTTGAGAGAGGCTAGAGAGAGGGTGTTTCCACGCACCGTTGTCCCCCCCACCGCCCCCGCCTCAATAAAGCAACCTTCCCTGGCCACGATGGACGCTTGCTCTTGCCCTGCCAGCTTCCAAGACCTACCCTGTGGTGGGTTCTTTTTATTTTCGATGAGACCATTGAGCCGAGAAGTTCTTTATCGATGCCGTGGAGGGTAGGGGTAGGGGTGGGGGGGGGGAATCTGCCGTGTGACAAGCCCCGTTCCATGTTGGCACGACGGGATGACGACGCTTGACAATCTCGTGCCACAGCCTCTCTCTGCCCTCTCCGCTTGGCCAATTCACGAATGGCGGACACGGCTGCGTCAGAGCACCACTCCGCGTCCCTCGGACAGCGATGCGAGCGAAGCGCTTGGGGTGCTTTTGGTTGAGTGGCAATTCGAGGTCGACGATGAGAAGCCATGCCCTCCGTGCACTGAGCCACTGCGCATACCAAGGCCTTTTTACCGAGAGAGACACAGCTCCTGTTTAAGTCGCCGCGCTTGTCCAGAGCGAGCGCACGTAGGGACAAGCGCAGCTAGCCCCTGGCAGGCGACGGTCGCTGTGGCACTACCCGAGTTGCCGCTTGCGTAGAATTAAAGAAGCTCCGACAGTCGTTCATCTGTCCTGTATAATAGTGTACGAATCGAGATGTGTGTACTATATTTACGTGGCAAAGGTTATATCTATATAGACTATATTATTCCGCCGCAATAACCAACGTAATGGAGTCGTATGGGTGCGTGCCCATCGCGTCTGTGGGGAGGCGAGCTTCAGGGGTGGCACGGCGGATGGACAACTCGGCTTCTGAGCGATCGCCGGTTGCATAAAATACCTCGAGTGGTACTTTGCCGTAGTTTGCCATGTGAATCGGGGGTGTCGACTAAAGGACACTTACGGAATGTTATGCGACCGGCCGCAAATCACGTCCATGACCCTTCGACCCGCCCCTCGCGGCTCACCGTCAAAGTTGTGCGGCCTCGTTCGCGCGTACCTGGAAGACACGGTTTGCTGCCAATTTTCAGAATGAAAAGTGCAAGCTGCCGTGGATCAGCAGCGCCGGACTTGCGATCCGGGCCGCACGCTTCGAGTCGACCTCCCGCAACCTCTGGGCCCAATCCAGCAGCGTGAACGAGTTCGCCGCAATCAGTTGATCGGCAGGTGGCGTGTGGGGTTTGGGTGAAACTTGCAGGTACTTTCCTTCCTCTTCCAAGACGCCCTGTCAAGCGTGGAAGTCGTCTCCAGAGGGGCCGTCTAGAACCCCCTCTAGCGGGGGGGGGGGGGGGGTGGTGAGGCCCTCCTGCCAGCGGTGGCACGAGCAAGCAGATTGCAGCTGCACCCTTACCCCTTTTTTACAAGTGGATTAAAACAAACCCGTTAGGAGCGAGCTGTGGGAGAGAGCCGTTGGGAGAGGCATGAGAGAGAGTCGTGAGGAGCGAGCCGTTGGGAGAGAGAGCCGTGGGAGAGGCATGAGAGACAGAGCCGTTAGGAGCGAGCCGTGGGAGAGAGCATTGGGAGAGAGCATTGGGAGAGAGCCGTTGGGAGAGGCATGAGAGAGCCGTGGGAGCGAGCCGTGGGAGAGCCATGAAAGAGAGCCGTTAGGAGCGAGCCGTGGGAGAGAGCCGTTGGGAGAGGCATGAGAGAGAGAGCGTTGGGAGCGAGGCGTTGAAGAGAGCCGTGGGAGAGAGCCGTGGGAGAGAGTCGTTAGGAGCGAGCCGTGGGAGAGAGCCGTGGAAGAGAACCGTTGGAAGAGAGCCGTTGGGAGCGAGCCGTGGGAGAGAGCCGTTGGGAGCGAGCCGTGGGAGAGAGCCGTTGGGAGCGAGGCGTGGGAGAGAGCCGTTGGGAGCGAGGCGTGGAAGAGAGCCGTTGGGAGCGAGCCGTGGGAGAGAGCCGTTGGGAGCGAGGCGTGGAAGAGAGCCGTTGGGAGCGAGCCGTGGGAGAGAGCCGTTGGGAGCGAGTCGTGCTCACCCCGGAGGAGGCTTCCCCTCCACTGGCCCAGCGCCGACGCGGGGGATCTCCAGGCTCGCCTCGCTTCCCAGCGGTGCAGGGCGACCGGCGATCGCCTTGGCCGAGGCGTGGAAGCAACGGCGTCTGTCGAGAACTCGCGCTAAGTGATTTTTACGTGTACGTCTTATCTCCAATGCAGTACCTTTGGGATGTGGATCGGTTAGAGCCTTTTTTCTTTTTTTAATTCCAATAGTTTTATGATATACTCCATGAAGTAGACCGTGTATTTTGTTATTTAAGACTGACAATCCGAACCCGTTAGGCACCCTCGAGTAAAGTATATATATATTTGAATACACGCGTTGCACTGTACCATATATTGTGAATGCAATGAGCGTCGCTTAATCCCTTGTAACCAATTCTTTGCCAAATGCATGTCCCCAGTGACGGTCGTAGAAGATAGTCCGAGTTGATCGACGTTTTGGCCATGAACTATGAAGTAAACCAGATCCTTAAATAAACGAAACACCTGGCGTGGATTTTCTTTTAATTCTCCTGCTGTCTGGGCACTCCGTGTGACACCGCAGGGTTTTTCTCTCACGGGGCAAGTGACCCGATGAGTTTGGACATCCGTGTTCTCAGGTCTTGCGGAGTGGGGGGGGGGGCAGTGGATGGGTGGCGCAGTGGTTAGCGCAACCGTGCCAACTGACCTGGGTTTAGTGATAGGTACAAAACTGGTACAAAAACTGACACCTTTATACAAGGCATCATGTTTGCAATAACCACAACACAAGCAGTCAAAATGCAAACAAAAAGAAACAACTCTGATAATTATATGCACTGTCCTTGAAGTTGATTGGTCCACACCCGAGACAACTTTTCTTAGAGCCTAGTCTCCATTGGTGTTGGACCAGATGACGCCAAAAGGCGTACAACTCAAAAACAGCGCACTATCAGAGTATTTAGAGCTCGGGGTAAGCGTTTACACTATGATACCTCCTTTACCAGTGGCAAAATATAGTGATAGGTTTTTACCCTTTCAACTGGTACAAAAACTGACACCTTTATACAAGGCATCATGTTTGACCTGGGTTTCATTTTGCGGCTGTGCCTACTCACGTCCGTGCCAAATTATGTAAACTGGCATCCGCTCCTCACCGACCGACACCGATCCGGAGCGGTGAAGTATGGTCAAACCCACGTAGCCCACAGTCGTGTGGGGAGGCCCTCTGTCCAGCAGTGGATTGCTAAAAAGGGCTGTGGAAACTCGAAGAGACAAACCGGTACAGTGTGCACCTTGCCAGCATGGTTATAAAGAAACTGTGCTGAGCAGTGAAAATCGGAGCGGTGGCAGCAGCTGCCTGCCCTGTCACTCTGCGAGTGTGCGTGCGGAGTTAACCAAGAAGGAAGACAGAAGCACATCTTTGTTTTTGAGATTTTTTTTTTGAAATGGTGACCTTCGGTAAACCTCACCCCCATGGCCTAAACACTGACCCACGGCCTCAACACTGACACACGACCAAAACACTGACACACGACCCACAACACTGACACACGACCCACAACACTGACACACTGCCTCAACACTGACACACCGCCCTAAAAAATGATACACGGACCTCAACACTGACACTGTTTTTAGTTTTATTTTACCAGGTAAGGCCCACCACTGAGCCTTGTAGCTCGTTCTCAGAAGCGACATGGCCATCACAAATGATAGATCAACGACGTGGGCTTTTCATCATCGTGTGGAAATTCATCATAGCCAAATACTTTCATCGCGCGGTGATGTTGATTCTAAATGTGAAGGGAAAAACCGGAGGACCCGGGGGAAAATCCACGCGGCCACCTGGAAGAGACACGCAAACTCCAAATGTACAGCAGGCGTCAGGGTTCGGATCGAACCCACGACCTCCTGCATACCAGGCGAGGTAGTTCACATCTCCTAGCCACCGTGATGATGACAGAGAGGGAGAGACACGCAGACTCCAAATATACAGCAAGCGTCAGGGTCGGGATCAAACCCACGACCTCCTGCATACCAGGCGAGAGAGTTAACATCTCCTAGCCACCGTGATGATGAGAGAGAACACACAAACTCCAAATATACAGCAGATGTCAGCGTTGGGATCGAACCCATGACCTGTATACCACGCGAGGTAGTTAATATCTCCTAGTCACCGTGATGATGATGATGATGATGAGAGAGACACGCAGACTCCAAATGTACAGCAGGCGTCAGGGTTGGGATCGAACTCACGCCCTCCTGTATATCAGGCGAGGTAGTTAACATCTCCTAGCCACCGTGATAATGACAGAGAGGGAGACAAGCAGACTCCAAATACACAGCAGGCGTCAGGGTCGGGATCGAACCCACAACCTCCTGCATACCACGCAAGGTAGTTAACATCTCCTAGCCACCGTGATGATGAGAGAGAGAGACACACACAGCCTCCAAATATACAGCAGATGTCAGCGTTGGGATCGAACCCACGACCTCCTATATACCAGGCGAGGTAGTTACCATCTCCTAGCCACCGTGATGATGATGATGAGAGAGAGACACGCAGACTCCAAATGTACAGCAGGCGTCAGGGTCGGGATCGAACCCACGACCTTCATAACAGGCGAGGTAGTTAACATCTTCTAGCCACCGTGATGATGAGTGAGAGAGACACGCAGACTCCAAATATACAGCAGGCGTCAGGGTCTGGATCGAACCCACGACCTCCTTCATAGCAGGCGAGGTAGTTAACATCTCCTAGCCACCGTGATGATGAGAGAGAGAGACACGGAGACTCCAAATATACAGCAGGCGTCAGGGTCGGGATCGAACCCACGACCTCCTGCATACCAGGCGAGGTAGTTCACATCTCATAGCCACCGTGATGATGACAGACAGAGAGAGAGAGACACGCAGACTCCAAATACACAGCAGGCGTCAGGGTCGGGATCGAACCCACGACCTCCTGTATACCAGGCGAGGTAGTTAACATCTCCTCGCCACCGTGGCGCCCTAAAGCTTCGGATAACCCTCGTGAAAGGGTCTTCAGAGTCGGCGATGATCTCCGGGGTAAACCACGCGTCGTGCTGCAGCACAGCGGCAGGAACGCCCCCGCCCGCCCGCCCGCCCGCCCGCTCAAGTCCCGATCTCCCGTTCTGCCATCACGTTGTTCGTCGGCTTCCCCCTCCTCCTCCTCGTCGAATCACCTCCAGCCCCCAGATCGGGACGGACACCGCTGTGCAGCTATAGGAGTGGAGCGACACGGACGCCAAGAATACGTGAAATACAATTTAAACCGACTCGTTAGGAGCCGGCCATAAATGACGTCACGCACCTAGGAGTGGGGGGGGGGGGTCAGACATTTGTGACGATGTGTGACGAGGGAAGGGGGGTTTGAGAAATGTGACGTCACATCAAAATGCGCAACTTTAAATAACTATAGACAACACGTTCTACTTAATTAAATAGACTTTCTTATAAATGTTTTCTCCTACAACATCAGAGTGCAGCGCCACATTAAATACGCACTACAATGACAATAGTAATAGGGTTTTACCCTTTCAACTGGTACAAAACAGACACCTTTATACAAGGCATCATGTATAAAGGTGTCAGTTTTGTACCAGTTGAAAGGGTAAAAACCTATTACTATATTTTGCCACTGGTAAATGAGGTCTCATAGTACAATGACAATAGTTTAAGCGAAGCATGTTTTATTTGGGGGGGGGGGCAGGGCTTTGTGACGTCATATTTGAGGGGGGGTCTGACTTTTCGTGACGCCGTGTTACGATGGGGAGGGTAAAAAAATCGTCAAATATCGCGTGACGTCATTTATGGACGGCCCCTTAGAGACCAGTTGGCGGCCCGTGGCGTTTCCACTGAGGTGGGGCTGTTGTGAGTGCCCTGCGAAAAGATGGTTTTCGAATTAACAAAACCCTCGTCACGTGATTGGCCTTCCCGTGAGAGTGATACAACTGTCTTCTCTACCAACGGTAGGCATTTATAAACAATATAAAACAAAATAATTTAAATCAACTAAATTAAATCACGACGTTTCGGAGGCAACACAAGCCTCCCTTATCAGGTGTAAGAAGGCACAGTTATTTTGCTGTGCCTTTTTACACCTGATGAGGGAGGCTTGTGTTTAATTTAGTTGTTTTCATTTATTTTATTTTAGTAATTGGTTTACCTAAGTGACTTTACCGAACAAAAACCAAAAAGTATGAATTCTTGCAGTCACGAAAGCTTCAAATCTAGAATACAAAACAACAATGCACTTCAAATGCTGTCCCCATAACCCTCAAGTCCACACTACACGACCCCTTTGACACTGCCAAAAAGCCATGACCCGCTCCATTTGCACGGTGCAACCTCGCGTCGCGACATCGTCTCTCATCACAGCCACGGGCGCCTTCTTCACTGCATGAATGGGCCTCAAACGGCGTGGCTACTATGCTCGAAGCTGCTCATCGCAATGAATGAGGGGACATCTCTCACTCGGATGCCTTCACACGCGTCCCAAGACCTGCCCGAGGCAGCACAAGTCAGACTGTGGCGTTGCAGCGGTCTCTACTACGAACAACTTAAAATGTTATGTCCATTGGGCAATTCACGTTGAAAGAATCGTGACATTTTAAACGTTTGAAACGCAACACATTTTTTACAGAAAAGTTTCTTTAATTAGAAAAATAATTTCTAACCTCCGGCGCCACGACGCCCCCCGTGGACCAAGCGCACCTTCTTCTTGGTTCTTTCGGTAAAGTCACGTAGAAGGGAAATAATAAAATAATAAAAATAAAACATTATAAAATAAAATAATAAAATAAAGTCTCGTAGAAAGGAAATAATAAAATAATAAAAATATAACATTTTTTTATAATATAATAAAATATAATTGTATTATGTTTATTTTATTTTATTATTTCCCTTCTACGTGACTTTACCGAAAGAACCAAGAAGATGAATCCCTGCAGTCACGAAAGCTTTAAATCGAAGCGCACCTCGTTCGAGACGCCAAATGTCATCGCATCTCCCTCCCTCCCTCCCTCTCGAACGCCATTCCTCCTCAAAGAGGCGCCGGTGTAAACCGTCGCCCAACCCGCATCGGAAACCTCATCAACAGACCGCGGTGCGTACACCCCCCCCCCCCTCCCATGAATGTAAAATGAAAGCCACGAAGTCACGCGGTTTGCTTGCGACTGTGGGCCACGCAAATCCAAACTGTGGACCGCGCAGTCAAACCCCACAGAATAGACACGTAGCGGACACAATGCAGACACCACGGAGATAGAATGAGATCCATTGAACGATACAAGACGCATTTCAGCAGCCCAATCGTGACCACGCAAATCCAAACCGTGTACCGCGTAGACACAAAGCTGTCAACCCATACGGTTTAATTCTAGATTTACCCGTAATTATTTTATAGGGAAAATTAGTTTTCCGATCCATACGGTGTACAGCCGTTTCAAAAGGGCAAACAAAATAAATCTCCATTTGTTCGTGTTTCTCCCTTGTGATGGGACTTCGTAGGATGAACGTTGAGATGTATAAGGGGCACGGGGTGACCAATAAGGTCTGAATTGGTCTGTAATAAGGTAGGGCACTGGTAAGGGGTTGAGAGGTATGCACAGCGGATACACACAGACCCGTCAGATCCTCTGGTACTGGCATTTTAGTTGTTCCAAAGGCCAGGCCAAAACCTAGGGAGAAGCGGCTTTCAGTGTATAGGGTCCTCGCCTGTGAAACAGCTTGCCAGGGGATCTGAGGGCTTCAGAATCATTAGGCACTTTTAAAATAAATCTAAAAACTTACTTTGTGAAACTTGCTTTTGATTAGGATTTCCTTAATGTGTTATTTTTGTTACGTCCTTGCTAGAAATTTGTTACGTGATTTTATTTTGCCGAAAATGTCACTTTTATTGTTGATGCCTTTAAAGCACTATGTATTGCATTTTCTGCACGAATAGTGCTATAGAAATAAAGTTTGATTGATTGATAGAACGAGATCCATTGAACGATGCAAGCCGCAGTACGGTAGCACACCTGTGTCAATGTGGGTAAACCCACGGGGAGTTTGTGATCTCTTCCGTGGAGGAGGAACAGCGCAGCAAAACGACACGAACTCTCGCTGCGCTGAAGCCCCGCTCGTGGTGGCTAGCAGACAGACCTCTCGACATTGGCTAGTGAGTTCCTGAACACATTTTTTGCCATCATAGACATGGATAGACAGTCAAACGGCTATGGCGTGTGTGTGTGTCGGGATATCGCCTCTGTCGGGGAGGCTCGTGAAGGACGCTGCGACTGGGCAAGTTGGAGGCAGTCGTCACATCTAACGACAACGGAGGGCAAAGGAACGACGCTCACAACAACGAGCGGAGCGTCGGGCGACTAAATGCAGCAAGTTGGCACAGCAAGGGGGTTACAGCTGGTGCATCTGCCAGTCGCCTCAGTCAATCCATCTGCTGGGTCTGTCCCTTGACCTCCTCCTCCTGCACCGAGCCTGGCACAGCAGTCAACCCATGGCACCACCTGGGTCTGTCCCATGACCTACTCCTACACCGAGCCTGGCATATCAGTCAACTCATGGTGTCTGGGTCTGTCCCGTGACCTCCACCTCCTGCACCGAGCCTGGCACAGCATTCAACCCATGGTGTCTAGGTCTGTCCCGTGACCTCCTCCTCTTACACCGAGCCTGGTATATCAGTCCGCTCATGGCACCTGGGTCTGTCCTGTGACGTCCTCCTCCTGCACCTAGCCTGGCACAACAGTCAACCCATGGTGTCTGGGCCTGTCCCGTGACCTCTTCCTCCTGCACCTTGCCTGGCACAACAGTCAACCCATGGTGTCTGGGTCTGTCCCGTGACCTCCTCCTCCTGCACCGAGCCTGGCACAGCAGTCAACTCATGGTGTCTGGGTCTGTCCCGTGACCTCCTCCTCCTGCACCTAGCCTGGCACAGCAGTCAACCCATGGTGTCTGGGCCTGTCCCGTGACCTCCTCCTCCTGCACCGAGCCTGGCACAGCAGTCAACTCATGGTGTCTGGGTCTGTCCCGTGACCTCCTCCTCCTGCACCGAGCCTGGCACAACAGTCAACCCATGGTGTCTGGGTCTGTCCCGTGACCTCTTCCTCCTGCACCGAGCCTGGCACAGCAGTAAACTCATGGTGTCTGGGTCTGTCCCGTGACCTCCTCCTCCTGCACCTAGCCTGGCACAGCAGTCAACCCATGGTGTCTGGGCCTGTCCCGTGACCTCCTCCTCCTGCACCGAGCCTGGCACAGCAGTCAACTCATGGTGTCTGGGTCTGTCCCGTGACCTCCTCCTCCTGCACCGAGCCTGGCACAACAGTCAACCCATGGTGTCTGGGTCTGTCCCGTGACCTCCTCCTCCTGCACCGAGCCTGGCACAACAGTCAACCCATGGTGTCTGGGTCTGTCCCGTGACCTCCTCCTCCTGCACCGAGCCTGGCACAACAGTCAACCCATGGTGTCTGGGCCTGTCCCGTGACCTCCTCCTCCTGCACCGAGCCTGGCACAGCAGTCAACTCATGGTGTCTGGGTCTGTCCCGTGACCTCTTCCTCCTGCACCGAGCCTGGCACAGCAGTAAACTCATGGTGTCTGGGTCTGTCCCGTGACCTCCTCCTCCTGCACCTAGCCTGGCACAGCAGTCAACCCATGGTGTCTGGGCCTGTCCCGTGACCTCCTCCTCCTGCACCGAGCCTGGCACAGCAGTCAACTCATGGTGTCTGGGTCTGTCCCGTGACCTCTTGCCAGCAGCGAGCCTTCGACACCTAACGTGGCCTCAAAGTGCACCTAGCCTGGCACGGGCTCCGTGGGTGACGTCACCGCCACTGAGTGGCGAATGGCGGGTATTGGTATTGCTATAGGCGGCGGAAATGTCCAATCGATAAGCCATTTTGTCGAGCTATCAGTTGTGGCCAGGCCGGGTGGGGGTGGTTTCGTGTTGTTTTTGTGGGTGTGTGTTTGGGTGACTTGTTTAACTTTCTTGTACTTTGCACTCCGATCGTGTTTTTGTAACTGTGTTTGTTGTTGAAACGTCCTTCGCCCGTGCACGTATATGCTGGACATCTGTGACAAAAGAGCTTCATCGCTCATCGGATTTATGCTGCAGTATCAATAACGTTTTACCGAAAGAACCAAAGAGTATATGGATTCCTGCAGTCACGAAAACTTCAAATCAACATTGATTCTGATTCTGGGTGGCAGGGATGTACCAGGCACGCCCCCCCTACGTTTGCCCCGCCCCCTTACGTTCGCCCCGCCCACATTGCGTTCGCCCCGCCCACGTTGCGTTCGCCCCGCCCATTTCTCCGTTCGCCCCGCCCATAACTCCGCCCCCCCTCGCCCCGCCCCGCCCCGCCCGCCACCCGCGAGCCGGGGTCACCACGAGGCGGCCGCCAGGGCTGATCAGCTGATCGGCTGGGCTCATGTGACGTCACGGTCAGGCCCTCGGCTCGGCGCGCTCCCATTGGCCCGCGCCGCCTCACCAGACAGCGCGCGCTCGCCTCCCGGAAGTTGCGCGCGCGCGGTAAAAGGCAACGCGGCACGTGACCCCCCCCCGCCGCCGCATTGAATCCCGGCCACAACAACGGCGAGTCGACGAGGTGAGTGCACGTGTGGTGATGGGTGTGCTAGTGTGTACACTTGTGTGTGTGTGTGCTAGGGTGTACACTTGTGTGTGTGTGTGGTGATGGGTGTGCTAGTGTGTACACTTGTGTGTGTGTGTGGTGATGTGTGTGCTGGTGTGTACACGTGTGGTGGTGTGTGTGTGTGTGGTGGTGGTGTGTGTGTGTGGTGGTGGTGTGTGTGTGTGGTGGTGTGTACACGTGTGTACACGTGTGTGTGTGTGTGGTGATGTGTGTGTGTGTGTGCTGGTGGTGTATGCACGTGTGGTGATATGTGTGTGTGTGCTTGTGTGTACACGTGTGGTGATGTGTGTGTGTGTTGGTGTGTACACGTGTGGTGATGTGTGTGTGTGCGCGTGTGTGCGCGTGTGTGTGTATACGTGTGGTGATGTGTGTGTGTGTTGGTGTGTACACGTGTGGTGATGTGTGTGTGTGTGCGCGTGTGTGCGCGTGTGTGTGTATACGTATGGTGGTGTGTGTGTGTGCTGGTGTGTACACGTGTGGTTGGGTGTGTGTGCTGGTGTGTACACGTGTGTGATGTGTGTGCTGGTGTATACACGTGTGTGTGTGTGCTGGCGTGTGGGTAGCGGTAGTGTAGTAGCGGTTAGCTACGAACCGGTTCAGGGCCCTCCCCTAAGTCCACTGAGCCTCAAATAATTACCTGGTGCGGTGTGTAGTAAACTTCGCCACGAGGGAGACAAAGGCGGACGGGCGTGGTAGCTGGCCACCCACCCCCTCGTGTACCGCTCCGGCTTTTATAGGTGCTCGCTAACAGCACTTGCCCCTACAGTCTGTTAAGGCTATACGGGGGATCTTTGTCTTTTTTGTTGTTGTTGTGGCCTCAACGTGCACATAGCCTGGCACAAGCGCCGTGGTGACGTCCCCGCCACTTAGTGGCGAATGGCGGTTGTTGTTGTTGTTGCTGCTGTTGTGTAGGGGGCGACCCGGGTTCGATTCCCGCTCACGGCCATCATCAGTGGCGCTTATCTGAACCGGCCCTGGACCTCCCCTAGGTTGACTCGGCCTCAAATGAGTACCTGGTGCGGCGTTTAAACATCGCCACTGGGGAGACAAAGGGGGCCGGGCGTGGTGTTGGCCACCCACCCCTTTCATAGGTGCCGCTCGCTAACAGCACTTGCCCCGATAGCCTGTGGCAGGCTACACGGGGGATCTTTGTCTCTTTGTTGAGCACCGTCAACGTGTCGTGCTATATGGGCCGGGTTCCGTGTTCTTCACACTTGTCGAGTCTGTACGTGGCACGACTCGCTGGTGAACTTTACTCGGCGGTGTGTGTGAGTGAGTGTTTTGAACGGTGCAGTAGGTGATGTTGGTGGTTAGCAAGCGCTCTGCTGTGAATCTAGCAAGCCACGTTCTTTCGCTGCTCACGGCTAACATCTTTGGCAAATATCTGGGCCTCCACTAGGTCGACTCCGCCTTAAATACACCGCCCCCTCGAGCGCCGTGTTGATCTCAATAAGTGCTCGCCAACAGCATCTGGCCCAACAGTGCGTGCGACTACATGGGGTGTCTCTGTGTGTATTTGTGTGTTCATATGGAGCTCCTATACATATGGAGCTCATATATAGGTGTGTATTTGTATTGATGCGTTCGTGTTGGTGGTGGTCTTGCAGATAGCTGTGCAGTGGTGGTCATGGTGATGTTGATGATGGTGATGGTAGCGATGTTCCAAACAGCCGAGCGATAATGGGGGACGGCGGTTTGCATGGCGATTATGGTTGTGGAGATGATGGTAGCAGCAGTGACGGTAGCAATGGTGATGTCACAGCCAGCTGAGCAATGATGGACCAGCTTTAGATGGTGGTTGTCACGGTAGTGGTGGTGATGGTGATTGTTGATGATGATGGTGGTTGTCAATGGTGGTGATGTTGCAGAAAGCCGAGCGATGATGCTGATGGGACCCGCTGTACGGGGAGCTGTCCGCCGGGCGGTCGTGCTGTTCGTGGTGGGAGCGACGCTCGCGCTGCTCATGGAGCTGCTCCTGCAGCCGCCGGCGTCGCGCTCCGGCCTCCTCTCGGCCGGCTGGTGGGTGCCGCCCGTGTGCGGCACGGCCGCCGGTACGTACCCCACGCGGCCTACGCGGTGACTCGCGCGTGTCGCCGTGCGTAACCCCTGCGCGTTTGGCGTGTCCGCGTGTCGCGTTCTTGACCTAAGCGTGTGCTGTGTGCTCTCCGCAGCGGTGATCGGGCTGCTGTACCCATGCTTGGACAGCTGCCTGGGGGAGCCTCACAAGCTGGAGCGCGAGTGGGCGAGCGTGCTGCGCTGCGTGGCCGTGTTTGTGGGCATCAACCACGCCAGTGCCGTATCCTCCTCGTCGCTTGATTCTTACTCCGGTGTAGTCGTTCGTCTCAAGGGAGCGTTGTTGTCGATTTCCCCCTTTGTGGCATCGACGTCGCTTCCCCTGATCGAAACATCCGTTCGGCTCTCTCGCAGAGCAGTGCATCCCCCTCCATGCTCGAGAATGGTCCGCTGAAGCGAATATCACAGAGGCCACCTGTGAGATCTCTTCCATTGACCTAAGGTCCACACAGTCACGGGCAACATTTTCCCATCCGTTCTGCACGCGAGAGTATTGTTTGTCGCGTTGGCAAACAAATACGTAATTCTCAGAGCTGTAAATTCGCTATATAGTCATTGGTGACCCAGCTGAGACCATTAACTCACGACACATTAAGAAACACACTTCAATCACTGTGGTTGGATGGCCTGAAACCCGAATTTGAACCCACGCACTCGCATGGTGACAGCTCGGAGCTCTGACCTCTGAGCCAACTGGTCAACCGGCCTCCTCACGCCGAGTTAGTTTTGAGGGTCGGTTTGTCCTCTGGAGAGGGCCGCGTTTGTCCCCCTTGACCCTCGTCGCAGAAACTGGAGTTTGCGAACCCGACGCAGCTGTCTCTGACGCTGGCCGCGCTCTCCCTGGGGCTCTGGTGGACGTTCGACCGCTCGCGGGGAGGCCTCGGCCTGGGCCTCGTCTGCGCTTGTACTGCCACCCTCCTCACGCAGCTGCTACTACGCTGCGGCCTCGCACAGTAAGAGACGGTGGCATTGGCGCGCGCGGAATCAAAGTGTGTGTCGCGCGGAGCACGGTGACAGCAACTGGTGCTGGCGCACGGAGTCGGCAGACGTAGATGGCGCGGCGGTGCACAGGCATTGCACGCACTCTGCAGCTCTAGAAGCGGCGCTCTCAGCTCTAGAAGCGGCGCTCGCAGCACACCGTGACGCACACCGACAACAGATTGCACCCGCGACGGCGCACACAGCTTATTCATCGGCTGCGTTGAGTCGGTCCGTGGTGCCGAGAGGTCGACTCACCGTGTTGGTCTCTGTCTCCCGTCCCCTCCGAGTGCAGGTTCTCTGCCGACGACCTGCTGTCTGTGAGGTCATGGCTGCCATGCATTTTCTTCGCGGGAGGGGTCACGGTGGGGAGCATTGGGCGGCAGCTCGCCATGGTAAGCTGCTGTGCGCGTGCGTGGTGTGCCCGTGGTACTCTGATGTGTGTGTGTGTGTGGTCGTAGTACGTTGATTTGTGCGCGGGATGTACCCGCAGGACATTGCCATGTTTGCGTGGTGTATCTGTCGTACGTTGGTGTGTGTGTGCATGGTAAATTGTTGTGTGTGTGGTGTCTTCGTGGTACGTCGGTATGTGTGCGTGGTCTACCCACGTGGTACATTTATGTGTGTGTGTGTGTGGTGTACCTGTGGTATGTTGGTGTGTGCATGGTAAATTGTGTGTTCGTCGTGTACCCGTGGTACATTGGTGTGTATGTGGTCTGGTCATTCCCATCACAGTAATGCTTACGCCATCATTCCGTAGCTTGTATTCTGTGGCCACATACACTGTGACCCACATTAACCATGGCGCAGCCAATCTCTCAACCTGTCTTGGAAGCCAAGCAGGTGTGAGCCTGCATAGTGCCTAGACATGTGACCACCACCACGCACAGACAGGTTCAGGCGTCAACGAGGCAATGCAGACAGCAGAATGCCTCGTTGTACTGTAATTCTATGCTCCCACTTCCATACACGCTCCTGACCCTTAACCCTCGCTGACCGTCGGTCTAAAAACCGCCACGGGCCACATGGCACGTGCAGTGGGGGGGAGGCGGGGCAGGAGTGGGAGGCCCTCATCCAGCAGTGGATGCACACGAAAGGGACGTTACATGTGAAGCGTGCGTCTGGAGCGAGTCCTCGTAGCGCGTGTGGCCCGGGTCTTTTCCCGCGCGTGCCGGTGGTGGTGCGGGAGCTCACGGTCGTGTCGTAGTGGTTAGCGCTACGCTGCGCTACGAACCTGGCGACCCGGGTTCGATTCCCGCTCACGGCCACCAACACCAGTGACGATTATCTGAACCGGTCCTGGGCCTCCCCTGGGTCGACTCGGCCTCAAATGAGTACCTGATGCGGTGTGTACACATCGCAACTAGGGAGACAAGGGCGTGGTGCTGACCACCCCACCCTCTCGTGTGCCGTGCCGGCCTGTCGCAGGTGCTCACTAACAGCACTTGCTCCAACAGTCTGTGAAGGCTCCACGGGGGATCGTTGTGTTTGTCTTTGATACCAGTGCGAGGGCGAGGCCAAGCCGGATCATCTGCACGCCGACTGAGCGACGGGACCGCTAAGGAGCTCACGGGCTCCACGTGGGGGGGGGGGGGGAATCGCCACCCCTCTCCCTGTCTGTTGCTATCATCGTCGTCATCGCCGCTGTCGTCACGGCGACCGCGGCCTCTGCCAAAATCGCGACGCTGCGCTCGACTGTTGCGCCACGTCGCTCGAAGCAAATTTCTCTCAGCATGGGGGCCGCGTCGTCTGCGCCCCCGTACGTACAAAAAAACACCGTCCGTCGCTTGCGTGCTAGCGCAGCATGCAGCATCCAGGTGGGAGGGGAGGGCAAACGGGGCAGGTTCCACCCCCCCCCCCGCCCCCCCCGTGACACGAGTGTCTTGGTGTGCACGTAGCACGCACGCGTGGGGGGGGGGCTGTGGTGCAGTGGTGAACTCGATCCTTCGACGGGCACACCTGGTGCGGGGAACGTACCACAGAAGGCATGGTGCCGGGCACACCCCGCTCCCTCGTGCGCCGCCACGCCAGCCTTTATAGGTGCTCGCAAACAGCACTTAACACCCCCCCCCCTCCGCCCTCGTCTTTAAAGGCGATAGCGATCGTTTTTTCTTTCGTGTACAATGTATAATTTACGTGTATATAACTTGCAGTGTTTGTGACTTTGTGTACGTGTGCATGCATTGCGTATATACGCGAGTGCTCTCGGAAAACAATTTGCCCCCCCTCTCCACTTCCAACATGGGGTGCCCCCCCTTGATGCGATGACACTACAGACACGTTGGGTGAACCCTCCCCCCGGCATCGTCACGCGAAGACCGCATGTCGCCGCAGCGTTCTTGTGCACTACTCTTTCTCCCCGATGGGACATGAGGCTACGATGGTCTCTCTCGCTCGCTCCATCTTTTCCTTCCCTTGGCTGCATGCTGTGCCTCTTCCCCATGACCCAAGCTCGTTGGTGACCTCATGAGCCACAGGTCCCATGATTGCACGAGGTCTGCTTGCTCCCATCAATTTGTGTGGACGTCTTTGCCAGTCGCAACCACCGTGCTCATCCATTATCCCCTCCATGTCGTCTCCCTCTTGAAGCCAGTGGCATCTCCAGAGCCCTCGTCCACGGTGCTGTGCCCAAACCAAAGTCTTGCCCCCCCAACACTATCCACCCATGGCCAAGGCACCGGGACGTTTGTAGCAGAGGTCACACTCGGGTACCCGATACTCGTACCCTACCCGATACCCGGCTACCCGTACCCGGCCGGGTACGGGTATCCGTTTGCGACCCTGGTGCGGCCGTGTACGGGTACGGGTAGGCCGTGAGTCACTGGTGAGTAACCGTTTGTCACTCATTTCCCAACGTCTTGTCTCTTCTCACAATTCAAGTTCCTAGAATCAACCCACCCGCGCCTGCAACATGGCTTCATCCCAGAGGTCGCAATCGGGTACCCGTACCCTACCCGATACCCGGCTGGGTATCGGGTAGTCGGGTAGTCGGGTAGTCGGGTATCGGGTACGGGTACCCGTTTGCGACCCTGGTGCGGCCGGGTACGGGTAAGGAATCAAAACCCGTTTGCGACCTCTGGTTTGTAGTGGGGGGGGATATTGTCGGTGGATGTGACTGGCAAAGAGGAACCCAGGCATTGCTGGAGAAAGGAAATGGGAGCAGGAGACATCTCCCTCCAGAGGCGAATCCCAGACATCAATCTGACCCCCTTCCATCTGTCCCATCCCTAGTACACTCCACGAAATGTGAAGCTTTGCACGGCAGTAACACAGATTGCCAAAATATGAAGGTGTGCCAGCCGGACTTTCGGCCGTGTTACTTGCGTGTGATGGTCCTGTTCCCCCTCCCCCCTTCCACGTATGCACTCCTCCTCCCTCACTCCGCGCCAGTGTTTAGACAGAATCGCGTTCTGTGGACGCTCCAGAGTCCGATGTTACACTCGTGTTATTAAAAGTTTATTTTGATTAAAAAAAAAAGTTGCTCGTTTTTTTTAAGGGTTGGTTTTAACAGCTATTTTGGGCAGGTTAAGTTACGGTGTTTTTCTTTCCTGTCAGTTTTGTTGCCAGATAAAAGGGTAAAAAACCAATTATATTTTTTACTGGCAAATGCTTACCCCGAGCTCTCATACTCTGATGGCGCATTGTCTTTGAGTTGTGCGCCTTTTGGCGTCATCTGGTCCAACCCATGTGAGACTAGACTCGAAGGAAAGCTGTCTTGGGTGTGGACCAATCAACTTCAAGTACAGTGCATACATTATCAGTTATGTTTTTTTGTTTGCATTATGACTGCAGGTATTGTGGTCTATGCAAACATGACTCCTCGTAAAAAAAGGTGTCAGTTTTGTTGCCAGATAGAAAGGTAAAAAACCAATCATCAAACAAATTGCTGTTTTGGAGAGTTGGGTGGAGCACAAACTCTTCACGTATATACAACTGTGCCGCAGTTACAAGGACTTGCTCAACGCCCGTCTCCCACAGCCAGCACTTCAACACTCCGCACAGTGCACTCAACTCCCACGGGCACGCGTCAAGGTGGCAGCAAAGGGGTAAACTCCAGGCCGTCCACCCATTTTTTATTACCAAATTCTCAGTCTGGCCACAAATGACATCACAAATGACGGTTCTCGACTCAACGTGGCTAAATGTAACATTTAAATCTGGGGACTGTGGGGGTGAAAGTTCTACCCTCGACTATATTTCACCCAAGTCCACTGGGAGGGATCCATGGCTATTCACTTCCATGGGCACCCAAGGGTTGCACGAAGCTCTGAATGCATTCGTGCTTGTGGGGACACCAAAGACAAAGATCCCCCGTACAGTCTGAACTGTTGGGGCAAGTGCTGTTAGCGAGCAAATAGGAAGGTGGCCAGCACCACGCCCAGCTGCCTGTTTCCTCAGTGGCAATGTTTGAGGCCGAGTCGACCTAGGGGAGGCCCAGGGCCGGTTCAGATAATCTTCACTGGTGTTGGCCGTGAGGGGGAATTCAATTCGGGTCGCCACGTTCGTGGTGCAGCGCGCTAACTGCTACACTGCCCACTGGCACCCACACACCAGTGTACAAATCGACGAGATCCCAGATATTGACAATCCGCAAAGCCATCACCTCAACGGTGAGAAAAGAGCCATCGGAGGATCCAATCAAACGCATCACCTTGCCATACATAGCAGCGGGAACCAAAAATATTTCCAAAATCACGAACACAAGATCCAGGTCCGATTTAACACAGTACATAAAATTAGTGATCTGATCCCATGTGGACAATATTCCTGACAATATCGCGGCGTCTACAAACTAAGCTGTATCTGCAGCAGCTACAATAGGGGGAACTAAGCAACGTCTCAGACCTTGTTGGTGAGCATTAGATTTGAAACACGGTAGGACCAATACTTCTGCCGTGGCTGATCATTACTTTAATGCGGCTGGCTCACGAAATGTATTTCTCCAAGACGATGGTACTATGCAAGCTTACTGGCTATCAACAAAAGATTCGTTCATGAAGCCATCCATATGTAGACATTTTCAACCGATGGTTATGAACTCAGCAAAAATTGGAAAGATGTCAACCACTTTTGGGTCATGACTTTTTGTCAACCTCCACTGTCAGCAGTATGGGTGTGTGGAGCGAGGTGCAACGATTACCTGGCGGCCCTTAGGTATAGACCGCTGCCTTGGCGTTGTTTCCTCCTCCATTAACATGAGCTGCCCCACCCATGCTGTTGACACACTTGGGCTAAGCCCATCTCCGAACCTTTAGTTTGCCTTCAGAGGCCAACCCCCGTTTCCTGATGACCGCTTGTGTTGCGATCAAAACAGTGTTTTTTTTACTGAACCAGATTAAGTCTACATTATAGACTTCCAATATGCTCACTCATGTTAATAACCATTGCTACAGTCTACATCAGACTGCCAATATGTTCACCAGCTTAAAAACCAGGCAACAGTCAGCATTATAGACTGCCAGTACTCAAACTAAAAACAGGCTACAGTGTACATTATACTGCCAGTACTCACTCCGATTAAGAACCAGGCTACAGTCTACATCAGTGGTTTTTATTTTTATTCATTTTATTATTTTTCTATCTCCGTGACTTTAATTCCTGCAGTCATGAAAGTTAAGTAAAAAAGAATCCCAGAAACCGTTTTACAAAACCACACATTCCGCACACACACACCGAGCAACGCAGACACGAGGGCGCACTGCCGTTCACAAGGCTTCTTTATTAAGCATCGCGGCACTTAACAAAGAGGGGTGACACGCGCACATCACTTCTCCTCGGGTTTGTTGAACACGTAGGTGAGGCAGCACTTTCCGCAGTACTGCCGGTTGAAGTGGTTGGCCATGAAGACGCCGGCTCCGCACTCCTCCGAGGGGCACTCACGCCGCAGACGCGTGATCTTGCCGTTCTCGTCCACCTGTCACGCGGCACAGCGATTACAATCAGCGCCTTGGGTGGTGGAGGCCAAGGGAGGGGGGAGTCGTGGTGAGCCCAGCCCAGACATTATTTGATGACCACTTGAAAACGAGTGGGATATCAAATAATTAACTCTTCTTGCCCGTATAATCAAAATGGGACGAGTGTATTGGTTGGTGTCAATTTCTACGCTGGCCCACAGTCTAGAGGCCAGTGGAGATTTCTGAGGCGACACCTGCAATGAGCAAAGTTGCAGATAACTTAATAATTTGAGTTATGGGTCAACAATTGTGCACAGCGGCCTACTCTTGTGAAGGAAGCCGCGAGGGGTCCCCATTAACTTGAAAATCCCTCATCCAAAGGACGGTTCACTTCAGCACAGTGCATAGATTCCAGAACCGATGGTGGATGGGGCCAGTGGACCTGAATGAAGATTGCTGTTTGCGAGCCTGTCCTTACCCAGTCCCAAGGTCCGCTCGTGAACCTGAGCGTGCACTCGCATTGTCCGCATCGCACATCTCACGATGTATATTTTACCAGGAAAATCCCGCTGAGCTACGATAGCTGTTACTCAGAAGCGACCTGGTTATCACCAATGATAGCTCGATGATGAAGTGGGCTTATCGTCACGTGCAAATTTATAGCAGCCAAATAATACAATTATAAATGGGGAGGGAAAAACCGGTGGACCCGGAGAAAAATCCACGCAACCACGGAGACACCCAAACTCCAAATATCAAGCAGGCATCAGTCAGGGTCGGGATCGAACCCACGACCCTCCTGTATACCGGGTGAGGTAGTAAACATCTCGCCACGGGGCACTCAACTGGCTCGGTACAGAGTGTGGCCACCGTCTCCTGTGCTACCCAGACGCAATGTGTCGCACCCCCCCCCCCCCATGACTAGGAGACGCAGCAGGGGGATTTGTACGCGATGGGGTCCCGCCGCCCATACCTTGTAGTACTTGAGCACGGCGAGCTTGACCTTCTTACGCTTGTGCTTGTTCTTCTTGGGGGTCGTGTACGACTTCTTCTTGCGCTTCTTGGCGCCACCGCGCAGCCTCAGCACCAGGTGCAGCGTCGACTCCTGTCACCGAGAGAGCCCAGGGGGGCAGCGGAGTGAGCCCGCCGCTAACTCTCCACACCGAGACGCGACAACTCCGCGCGCCGAGCAGTGGCAAACCAAGCTGTTCGTTTACGAGCGCAGGATTCGTACCTTTTGAATGTTGTAGTCGGACAGCGTGCGGCCATCCTCAAGCTGTTTGCCTGCAAAGATCAGCCTCTGCTGGTCTGGAGGGATGCCTGGAAGGATTGAATAACGCATCACTTACAATCCTCCACTCAAAAGCTTCACTGGGCACCAATGTGAATTCCCTTGACAATTACATCTTCTCTGTGTGCGTGACAGTGCACCGATAAGATTGTGCGTGTGAAGTAAAGTGAATAAAATGTTTAATACGTGGCACTTTCGGGCATACAATCCTGCCACTCAAATCGCCATCAGATAAAAACTCAATATAACATTAGAGTCTAAACAATGAGAAACAAATATATATTTACAAATATAAAAAAATATAAACAAGTTGTGGTTGCAGGATGTAATTACTGGCGAAACGTTGCCCTCAAATTGTAATTGTTGTGGGGTTTACTCTCCAACACAACCGGTGCGCTGAATTAGTAACTAATTGGTATGTTTTGTGTACGTGACAAACCTTGCCTAATTTGGCTGTGTCGGGTTTAACGACATTGATATTTATGAGATCTAACCCAAAAAAATCCCTCGATTATGGATATTGGTCGCCAAAGCCTACCACATGTTCAACTGCAGTTGTGGTTGCGAGTTAGTTGCATACAAGTGCAGAGGCGTTTTGAGTTGTGATTTCAATGTAGCGATGGCGTTAAAAGTGTAGATTTGCTTCGGGGGCGGTTGTTTCAAAGGTGTGAACACTGAAAGTAAATGTCTGTCCACCCCCATTGCTTTGTGTTCGCCTTTCGGCGTTGTCCTCTGGTCTGACACTGGTGAGACAAGGTCGTGAAGAAGGCTGTCTCTAATGTCGGCCAATCAGTTTCAAAGACAATGCATACATTGTCAGAGCATATTTGTTTGCATGTTTTGCCACTGGTATGTGTGGGTAATGCGGACATGGCAAAGGGCATCTATTTGGTGTTTTAACGTCTTTGCACAACTCCTGTTTTATTGCCAGAAAGGGTAAAACCTATTTTTATTTTCATTGTTTTGTTGGTTGTAGTGTTAGTGTTGTGGAGCGAATTCCCTTGTTTTGCGTGCTGTGTACAAGGTGGAGGTTGTGTATTGTTATTTATGTTAATAAGATTATTTTGAAGCGTATTCTGCATTTTGACTGGTTAATCAGTGTGTGTTTTTTTAGTTTGCGTGATGTGGGATGCTTCCTGGGAAGTTGCAAATTAAGTCTCGCGGCCTTATTCTGGATGACTTGCAGGCGTTGTTTCAGCTATGCTTAAAAGTTGCGAGTTGCAATAATCTAGACGTCACGAATTCCGAGTATGAGCTCTCTTCCTAATGGAGAGGTATGTATGGGGGGCTGTTTCATGTTGTGTAGATGGTAATGTGCAGCTTTGTGATTCTAGAAATGTAACCTGGTGTCCAAAGCGATGCCCAAGCTGTTAACTGCGTTGGCTCTATCACCAAGAGGTCTGCTGTAATAGACGCTTAACTCGTCGTTGTTTGGTGACAGTTAAAGAGTATTGCTTTTTGTACGTTTGGGTTTAAAAAAATTGTTTGCGAGCACACGTTTTAGAGTTGTGGTCAGTGGCTCCTTGCGTGATAGCGAGTTACAAGGTTGACGTCATCCGTGTGTGAGCGATGTCGGGAGACCAAGAGGTTTGCTATTAAGGTGCAGAGCGGTCTGATGCAAGGGTTGAAGAGAAGTGGTGTCCAAGAGTGGAGCTCTGAGAGACTCCACAGGTAATTTGTAAAGGGGAAGATGCTTTATTGTTGAACGCGAGTGTAGCAGTGGAGACTTTAGCTTATCTGCAAGCCGTGTAGGGACTGATGCCAAAGTCAGTACCGAGTCTATGAGATGATGGTTGGTCTACAGTGTCAAATGCTGCCGTCAGGTTCAACGATGATAGGGATGATTGTAGGTGTGTGGCGTTATCCATGTTGCGTAGTGCATAGTCTGGTATACTCAGAGCTGATTCTGTGCTGTAGTTGATGCAGCAACTAGAAAGGTTTGCAGTGATGTGATTTGTTGAATGGCAATTTTTCCCAATAATTTTTGATTCAGAAGGTAGGTGAGAGATAGATCTATAAAGTCCTTTGGATCATTGATGTCTAGTGATGGCTTTTTATCAGTGGTATGACGTTTGATTTTTTAAATAAGCTTCGAATTGTGTCAGTAGTGAGAGAGCTTTATCAGGCACGTGATCGCTGCCGGGGTAGGTGTTGGAAGGGCCTGTAGTGTGAAGGGGTTGTGTCAGAGGGTTTAGTCTGGTTGATGATGTTGTGCACTGCGTCGTGTTGATACTTGCGTGAATTGATGTGTTCTGTTGCGTTTCGAGGCTGGTAATTGTTATTTTCTAAGGTTATGGTGAATGTGATTGCGTTTCTAAGTATTTTTTTGTTTTGAAAGAATGTTACGAATTTAGTGTTTGTGCTGAAACCGAGTAGTTTATGGTTTTGGTTGGGAATAGTGGAGTAGATTCTATTGAATATTTAAAAGTTGTTTAGTGTGTGACACTATAGCAAGACGCACCCTCTTGTCTTGAATCTTTGCCTTTACATTCTCGATAGTGTCCGAGGGTTCAACCTGCAGTCAGAACACAAGACACGCCAGGAGCGGAGATGTCATCAATGCCGGATGACAATGTTGCAGCCTTTCACCATGCACCCACGCTGTTGGTGGTAAATTCATCTGCTAGTTATGTCTAAGTGTCAACAATGTTATTTATTGGCCCAAAAGGCAAAACACTTTTGAGGAGGATGCATATCCCACGCCGTGGTATTTGATAATTTCTCCCCACACCAAGTCGTGGTACAACGATTAGCAAGCAGCGCAAGAGGGCGAGAAAATCAAGGTCCACCAGTTCGATCCCAAGTGCAGGCGGCCAAATTGGGGAACATTTATTATATTTCGCCCTCCCCTGTCCACCAGCAGGTCAGCGAGTGGATAGGCAGGTGGAGCGTGGTGGGGTAAAGTGTGGGTAATCCTGCCTAATCAAACACGTGTCAACGTGGATAAGTGGCCCAAAATATCGCTCCAGAGTACTATAAAAAAAACGACAACGCTCTTCCACGAGATATCAAGGATCTAACGAGTATGTGGACATTTAAAAAATGTGTCTTAAAAACTATGTATACACTTAGTATATGGATTCTGGAAGTGTATAATTATATTTATGCTGCGGTGTCCTTTACAGTGCTTCGAGATCCTTAATGAAAAGACGCTACGTAAATGTGAATTAGTATTCGCCACTAACACCGCATCCATAAGGCAAACGATAACAGTACAACGATTCGGGCCAATGGCCTTCTTCAGGGCCTGCCCTCGTGGAGGCCCGCTCCGCCAGCAAGTGTGGCCGTGAACGAGCGACCACTGCAGAGCAACTCTGCCAGCAGGATGAGGGGACACGCGGTGTCTAATGGCTCACGACAACACGCAGACGACACGTAGATAACACGTAGACGACACGCAGACGACACGTAGACGACACGCCACTCGTGTCTGTGCGCAATGCGAGGCGGCAATTAACTTGGGGAACCACACGCAGGCAAACATCGCCTAACCACCACCACGGCCACGGCCCATCACGTCTCTCTCTCGCTCCCCCGTCTCTCCGTGGCTGTCCCGGTTCGCATTCGCGGGGAGTTGCGGCGGGCGGGGGATGAACGACTTAAAGCGGCAATGGTTGAGGGCCTCCGCTCACCGCCCCACGTGGCGGTGGCCGTGGTAGGGACACGGAAGGCGGCAATGGGAGACTGCCTCCACTCACCCCCCTCCCCCCACACACACGTGGTGGACACGGGCTCCTGCTCACACACTTCTGCTATCGACACTCCCTCAGTCCTCCTCCTCCTCGCACAATCCACTCGTGGCGAGGTCTCGGCAGCCGCCACGCTCGTCATTTGTGACGCCTCTACAGCTAGGCCGCACGCCACGAGGTCGCAGCCTCGGCTGCCTCCCCCCACACCGCTTTGCGTTCCCGGGACGTGGAGTGTTTGTGTGGGGCAGGCAAAGGGTGGGTGGGGGGTGGGAAGAGTCGCGCGGCACCTCGAGGGTGATGGTTTTGCCCGTGAGCGTCTTCACGAAGATCTGCATGGTGATGGCGCGCGCCTCCAAACCACTCGTGGCGTGTCCGCACGCCCGGGGAGGGATAGCCGAGGGAACTGCGGGGGGAGGGAAACACGACGAGAGCGGTGAGCCGAGGGGGGTGAGGATCGCCGAGAGCGGGTGGCCGTGACGACGAGCGGAGGAGGTTGACGATGCGAGAAGAGGTGCGAGAGAGAGACGAGAGCGATCCTCACCCTAAGATGGCGGCGAGAAGAGAGGCGGTCGCGCGGGGCGGAGCCTCTTATAGTCGGGGTCCTTCGCGGCGCGGGCAGAGGTGGCCGAGACGCGCTGAGCAATAAGTGCCTACTCTGAGGTTTTTTCGGTAAAAGTCACGTAGGTAAAAAATAAGATTATAAAAAATGAAAATAATTAAAAGGCACGAAGGGGAAAATAATAAAATAATATTAATAAATGAAAATAAATAATTTAGTTATAAAATAACATAATAATAAATTAAAATAATTAAAAGTCAAGTAGGTATAATTAATAATAATAAAAATAAATGAAAATAACTAAATTAGTTATTTTCATTTTCTTGGTTCTTTCGGTAAAGTCACGAACCACGTACGTGACTTTACCGAAAGAACCAAGAAGATGAATCCCTGCAGTCACGAAAGATTTAAATCGATAGTTATTTTCATTTATTAATATTGTTTTTATTATTTTAATAAATAACCAAATTAGTTATTTTCATTTATTTTTATTATTTTATTTTATTTTTTATATTTTTTTCCTACGTGACTTTACCGAAAGAACCTAAGAGTATGGATCCTTGCAGTCACGAAAGCTTCAAATCTAGAAAGAAGTGCCTGTTGACAATACATTAATTAGTTAAATTAAATAAGTTAATTAGTTTAAAATTAAAAAATCAGATTACCAAATAATGTGTTCAAGCTTTAATAGAACCTCTAAAGTGTTTAATTTCATATACCTATCAAGATGCTTTACTGTCACCTATACGGTGTACACAGACAAAGGTCCCCCGTATAGGCTGTAGCAGGCTGTAGGGGCAAGTGCACTGTGGCACACGAGGGGGTGGGTGGGCCAGCACCACGCCCGGCCGCCTTTGTTTCCCCCGTGGCGATGTTTACTACACACTGCACCAGGAACTCGTTTGAGGCTGAGTCGACCTAGGGGAGGCCCATGACCGGTTCGGATAATCGTCACAGGTGTTGGGGAGGGGCTGAGTGGGGAGGGTGGGGCTGGGTGGGGGGTGGGAGGGGTGGTGCTGGGTGGGGAGGGGCAGGTCACCCCGTGGTGCCCTTATAAAACTCAACGTTTAACCTACTCACGCCAGCTTGTGCCCGCCCTCAGCTCCCTCCGCAGGAATGTGTTACACGTTTCCCACTGAGGGGACATTGCTATAGACGCATGTGTTGTGATCTGTGCTGTTCAATTCCGAATGAGCAATTAGTCGAGGCGTCTTGGGGGTAGAAACTCGAGAAGTGGGAAAGTGAACATCTCATCGGAGCCTCCAGGTTCCTCTTCTTGGTTCTTTCGGTAAAGTCACGTAGAAGGGAAGTAAAAAAAAAATTCTCACGACGTTTCGGCCACAACGCAAGCAGCCGTCCTCAGGTGAAGACCAGGACAGCTGTCTCCCCGACAGACCTGGTCTTCACCTGAGGACGGCTGCTTGCGTTGTGGCCGAAACGTCGTGAGAATTATTTTATTATGTTTTCTTTTTACTTCCCTTCTACGTGACTTTACCGAAAGAATCAAGAGGATGAATCCCTGCAGTCACGAAAGCTTTAAATCGAAATTTAGCCTCCAGGTTCGTTGAGATACATTCTCAGTTTTCCTGCCAGAACATATCTCACAAAAGCCAGTCGGAGCAAACATCGATATCAAACTGGCATTACTACGATGAACATCTGTTAAAAAAGAGCTTCATAGCTCATCGGATTTCTCCTGCAGTATGAATAAATATTCAGGTTCAAAAGTTGATTTTTGTTTCACGCGCAGGTGTGAAGAAGTACTCAAGAGCTCAGCAAACAAAAGCAACGAGAAATGCGAGTCCTACCTGGATGTTACACGAAGGTCAACAGAGATCTCCTGCTACGCACACGAACCACGTTGAGGCCTTAGTGCCCATCTCCCGTGCACAGCCCTGCAGAGCCACTGATGGAAATTCCACATTCCCATGGCTTGTGGTCAGTCCATCGGACAACACCTGTTGATAACCCCTACAAAGTGGAACTTGTTTTACGTTTAGGTGGTATGTTGAAGATCATAGGGGCCGTCCATAAATGACGTCGCGCACCTGGGGGGGGGGGGGGGGTCAGACATTAGTGACGATGTGTGACGACGAGGGGGGGGGGGGGTAGAAATGTGACGTCACATCAAAATGCGCAACTTTAAATAAATATAGACAACGCGTTCTACTTAATTAAATAGACTTTTTAATACATGTTTTCTCCTACAACATCAGAGTGCAGCGCCACATTAAATACGCACTACGATGACAATAGTTTAAAGCGATTTGAAGCATGTTTTCTATTTTTTTTTGGGGGGGGGGGGCAGAGCTTTGAGACATCATATTTGAGGGGGGGTCTCTCAAAAATCGCCTAAAATCGCGTGACGTCATTTATGGACGGTCCCATACATGCGTAAAAAAAGTTTACAACTCTCCGTCAATCCTAGATTTGAAGCCACTGTTGGATGGTGGCCTCCATATTTAATCAGCGGTTATTTGACCATACTTCACCCCCCCCCCCAGGTCAGTGCGCTTTGAAGAGGGAGGTGGCTAATTCACACACCACCCCGCCACTGGTGTGCCACCGCTCCTTGTACCGCAATAACGCATTGGACGGGCGAGACCAACGGGGACGGGGGAGACCAAACGGGGATGGGCGAGACCAACTCGACGGGGGAGACCAACTAGACGGACGAGACCAACTAAACGGGGGAGACCAACTAAACGGACGAGACCAACTAGACGGGGGAGACCAGACGGGGACGGGCGAGACCAACTGGCACGTGATGTGGGGGGGGGGGTTGGCGATTGATAGAGACGAAGGTCGCAGCTTGTGTGAGGCGCACGCGAGCAGGACGTAGCACAAGGAGAGAGGGATACCCGGTGAGCGGCGGCGAGGAGATGAGAGGAGGGCTCCTGAGGGAGGGCGAGAGAGTCGGGGACATTCCACATTCGTATGGCGGGCGGGTGAGGAGGGGTGAGCGGTGAGCGCGGCTGCGATTTGGGAAGGAGGCTCACTGACACCTCCTCCTGGCCCACGTTCGTCTGCGGTTCGCGACGTGGGGGTCACGGGGGAGCTAGCGGGGGGCACGGGGGAGCTGGCGGGGGGCACGGGGACCCGGGGTGGCTCAGGGGACGCTGCTGTGGCCGCAGCAGAGGCGATGGCGAGCGGAGCTCGGGGAACGCAAAGCCGGAGAGGCCCTGCCTGAGGCACTAGGCGAGACGCAGGCTCTCCGGCCTAGGGCTTGACCTTTGCCGCAGAGAGCGAGTCCGTGTGGCGTGTGTGTGGTGTGTGTGGTGTGCCTGTGTGGTGTGTGTGGTGTACGTGGTCTGTGTGTGTGGCCTGTGTGGTGTGTGTGTGGGGTGCCTGTGTGGTGTGTGTGGTGTACGTGGTCTGTGTGTGTGGTGTGTGTGGTGTGTGTGGTGTGTGTGGTGTGTGTGTGGTGTGCCTGTGTGGTGTACGTGGTCTGTGTGTGTGGCCTGTGTGGTGTGTGTGTGGGGTGCCTGTGTGGTGTGTGTGGTGTACGTGGTCTGTGTGTGTGGTGTGTGTGGTGTGTGTGGTGTGTGTGGTGTGTGTGTGGTGTGCCTGTGTGGTGTACGTGGTCTGTGTGTGTGGCCTGTGTGGTGTGTGTGTGGGGTGCCTGTGTGGTGTGTGTGGTGTACGTGGTCTGTGTGTGTGGTGTGTGTGGTGTGTGTGGTGTGTGTGTGGTGTGCCTGTGTGGTGTGTGTGGTGTACGTGGTCTGTGTGTGTGGTGTGTGTGTGCGTGGGGCGCGTGGTGTGTGTGGTGTGTGGTGTGCTTGGTGTGGTGTGCGTGGTGTACGTGGTGTGTGTGTGTGTGGTGTGTGTGGTTTGGTGTGTGTGTGGTGTGCGTGGTGTGTGTGGCGTGTGCGTGGTGTGTGTGGTGTGCCTGTAATGGTGTGCCGTCTGTGCGTGTTGCGTGTGTGGCGTGCGTGGTGTGTGTATGTGGTGCGTGTGTGTGTGGTGTGCCTGTGTATCGTGGGGCGCCGTGTAGCAGTGACTATCCGAGTTCGATTCCTGTTCACGGCCAGTGGCGAATTTCGCAACCGGTCCTGGGTCTCCCTTACGCCGACTCAGCCTTAAATGAGTACCTGGGGCGATGTGTAACTATCGCCACAAGGGATACGTGTGCTGTGCCGTCCTTCATAGGTGCTCTTTGCCCAAACACTGGAGTCTGTTACGGCTAATCTGGAGATCGGCTGTTGTGTACGTGTGGTCTGTGCATGTTGTGTGCGTGTTGTGTGCGTACTGTGTATGTATGTTCTCCATGTTATGTGTCTATATATGTTGTGTGTGTGTTTGTTGTCTATGTTCGGCGTGTCGTTTTCATGTGTTGCCTATGTTGTGTGCTGTGTGTCGTCGTGTGCTGTCTATGTTGTGTCTATGATGTGTCTTTCCTTTGCACTCTGTATTATACGTACGTTTGTGTTGTCTGTCATCTTTGTTGTGTGTCTAGATGTTGTCTGTATGTATATCTTCGGGTGTGCAGTGGAGTCCTTTGAAGGAACAGGCTGGGCCTGTCCACGATCCATCCTGGGTTTAACCAGAATGGATTGTGTGAGGAGCTCATAGATCTTTGAAAGATCTGGAAAGAGACCCATCATCAGTGAGCTCCTCATGCAAACGAAGCTTGCGATGGCTGGGTCATGTAGCCTGCGTGCCCAGCCACCTCATGCCCATGCAGCTTCTGTTTGGCCGGATAGAGGGAGCTAAATCGGCACGGATTGGACAAGAGCTGATGCGGTGCAGGAGGATGTGGAGCTGATTGAATTTGACGATGACCGGTACCAGTGGTATCTAAGATCAGCCTCTGCGGAGGAGGCTTGTAAAAAGGCAGTCGGAGGCAGTTGCCCCTCCCAACAACGAACGGCAGAGGAGCGACGCTCACAACAACCAGCGGAGGAGTGCCGGGCAGCTAAAACGCGTCAAGTTGGCACAGTGGGGAGTAGAGACGGTGCATGTCTCAGTCAACTCGTAACACCAAAGTCTGTCTCATGACCTTCTGCCAGCGAGCCTGAGATACTTCACT